CCGTGGACGAAGCAGAGTCCAGCCCGGGGTCGTCACATGTGGTTGCCGCAAGCCTGCCGGATGCTCCTTCGTCGAATCCGCTGGCCGCGCCGTTCTCAAGACCGCCGGCCTTCTCTCACGCTAACCCTCCGTGTGTTTCGTTGTGAAAGCGAAACTACTTTGTTTGGTCTTCCAAAAGAGGACACGACTAGAAATCAGTGGTTAAGTTGTATTTACAACACTGTTCCAGAACACTTCAACCCAAATATTCAGATGTGTGCAGTGCATTTTATGGAGGACTGTTTCCTGATCCTAGAAGAGTAGACTACAATGCCGGCTGTTCTGACTCACAGCCTGTAAGAATTTGCCACTGACGATTCAAACGCGAGTTTTAAGCAGTGTAGAGTAGCGCTTGTTGTTTGTCATTTCTCCGATCACAAATGCAGACATGGTTTTATGTTTACGCAGAGCGATGCAACGCAATCCGTAATTATGTCCCCACTGGATGCAACAAATGCCTCAGTTATAATGGGTTTTAATGTTTTTGTCTAATCGCTCCAGTTTCATTACACCAAATACACAAAATAATGTTCTTTTTAGCAAGATCATATAACCCATTTAAGAGAGTCCTAATGTTCATGCAACTCTAAATGCAGATGAATTTTATGCCGGTGTCAATTTTGAATTAGTTTTCTCTGTCATATGCAGGCGGAGCATGAATTGCGTGTTGCTCAGACAGAGTTTGACGGACAGGCTGAGGTCACCAGACTCCTCCTGGAGGGCATCAGCAACACGCACGTGAGTCGTTTTTACATGCATGCTGCATTAACCCGCTACACACCTGAGCAGAAGCGTATGTTTGAATACAAGCCACTTCAAACTGATAAACCTCATTATCAGGATGGGCTTAAAAGCTTTCATAATAATCCTTCAATATGCATGCTTTGAAGTTCAGAGAATAGCATTTCAAAACATTAAATCATTGTTTAAAAGACTGCGTAAATATCTAGTATCCTCATGCAAACAAATGAAGTGCAACCTGTGTTTGCACAGAATGCTATGGGTTTTAAAGTGACAGGATGACTTTTCTGTCTGCGCAGGTGAATCACCTGCGCTGCCTGTGTGAGTTTGTGGAAGCGCAGGCGATGTATTACAGTCAGTGTCACAAGTACATGCTGGAGCTGCAGAGCGAGCTGGGCAGGTGGCTATGCATCAGATTTCATTCATGTGCAAAATACTATTTGGCTCACTGAATCATTTTTCCAAAATAAAAATATAACATTAAATGGTAACACTTTACAGTAAGGTCTCATAGTCAATGCATTAGCTAACATGAGCAATATATGAAGAGTTAGCCAAATAACTTCATATTTCTTACATTTATACATCTTTGTCAATAAAAGTGGTTGTTCATTCATGTTAGTTTACAGTGCATTACCTAATGTTTACAGATACAGCTTGTGATTTGAAAAATTTATTAAGTAAATGTTGAAATGAACAAACTAGAATTAATAAATGATGTACTGTAAAAGTATTATTCTGTATTAGTTCATGTTAAATGATGTTAACAAATAGAACCTTATTGTAAAGTGTTAACTATTAAATTAAAGATTTCTTTAAGAGGAAAACTTTACAGTGGAAAATATGACTTGGTGCACCGTAAAGGAATAGTTTTCCCCAAAATGACAATTTGATGAGAAATTTACTTGCTGAGCAATGAATCCTCTGCAGTGAATGGGTGCCGTCAGAATGAGAGTCCAAACAGCTGATAAACGCATCACAATAATCCACAAGTAATCCACACCACTCCAGTCCATCAGTTAACATCTGGAGAAGCCAAAAGCTGCTTGTTTGTAAGACACAAATGCATCATGAAGACATTAAAACCATATTTTAACTCAAAATCCAGCCACATATTTGTTTAGAGCTGTTTTGGCTTGTAAATGGTGCTTGATCTGTGCAGATTTCTCTCCTGATTCAGACCAGACCACTTTTTCACCGAAGGAAGCGTTATGGATTATGCACTTGTGTTTTAGACAGCAGTAATGATTTGAAGTTAAAAATGTCTTCATGATGCATTTGTTTCTTACAAACACAGCTTTTGGCTTCACAAGATGTTAACTGA